CAAAAACAAAAATTTTAAATGGATTTTATATATTAAATGATCAAACATGTGAAGTACTTGGTGGAACAGTAAATGAACTTGTTCATAAATGGAAATTAAATAAAGTTCGAATCTTAATGAAAACTTAATTAGAGAAACTGCTTCTTGGATTTAGCTAATGGATACAAATGTTCGAACATTAATTGGTGAAGGAGCACCACCACCTTGGGTTCCATTTAGTACTACATATGTACTAACAATGACAGGTTATTTTATATTTTCGATTGTTTATTTTGTTTTTCTTATTATTATTTATTATGAATAGTTGATACTTCTAAACATTCGATGGATGTAGTTAAGATGCAAGAAACTCATGAAGAAGATCCAGAATTTGTTCGTCAACGTCGTGCTGCTATTGATACTCTTCTTACTGGTCGTATATCGAAAAAACAAAGAATTACTAAACGAAAAGTTATCAATGGTACAAATGTAGCAAAATTTTTTGAACTAGAAAGTCAACCAATGCCAGAGAAAAGACCAAAAATAGCCTCTGATTCTTCATTGTCAACGTCGATTATTAATGAACTGATAAATATAGCAACAACAACTGAAGCAATTAAAGCTAATGTTCGATGTAAGGAGATATTTTTGAATTGAAATGAATGACTCGTTATCTTGATTATTTTAGTACCAAAATCGAAAAAAAAATCGATTGCACCTAAAGTAATTAAGAAGCATAAAAAACGAGTACAATCGAAGCGTAAAAAAATTTCCAAACGTAAGCGTCCCGATAATGATAATCAATCAAAACGAGGCGGCGGTTCCAGATGTAAACGACAACGTCGAGAACGTACTGATGATGAATGCAAAAAGATACATCCAATCGAAGATATTATTTCAGTTGATTCTTTTATTTGATTTTTTTCAAACGAATTAATTTTTTACATGAAAGTTTATCATTGCTCGTAGAGTTAACAGATAATCATACCAAAAAAAAAAAAAAGAAAGGAATAGACAACTATTCTATAAATCAGTTTATTTTTCAGCTTTCATTTTCTTCTCTGGTCATGTAGAACAAATAAAGAGAGAATATAAACATTTATAAAGCACACTCGTGTACATAGAAAAATGTGAAGAGGTTTAAATTCATATGCTGTACCATTGTTGTCAAATGATTAGAAAAAAAAAACATTGTTTTTTCTAAATCACATTGATTTAAAAAATAACTTCGATTTAAAGAGATGGAAATGCGATAGGCTTCTCAAGTTTGTTAAAAATCTAATGCTTCAAAAGTTGTATCTAATTGTTTTTTTTTCTAAGTCTTATCCAAAGGTTACATAAATAATCCATCAGTGATTTCTCACGAGATAGTAAAGATATAGGGTAATCATTTCATCACAAGAGTAAGAATACGATGCGCAGACCTGACGCATATAAAGCATGATCACATTATTTTCGGCAGTTTTGTTCAGTTTGCTGTACTTATACAGAACCTCAGAAGTTTGTCATTCTGATATAGTTGGACAGAGCGTCGATTACTCTATCGAACTATATAGTTTCTATTTACTTTAAAGCTTGTCCAAAAATTTGATACATTTTGAAAAGCATCTAACAAAGATTTTTTTCATCGATAATTTTCAGGTCATTTCTCATGATTTATTTCCATCCACACCGACGTATCTTCTTTACAGTTTTCGCTGAAAATTCAATCAACTTATTGAAAGATATATTATAAACAGTCCACAAATTTGAAAAAAACAAACAATAGCGTCTTAATTAATCACTTTATCGTGCATAAAATAATATATAAATATAAATATAAATTCGTTTAAGTTGAATTTTTCTAATTGTTCTCGATATAAATAAGAATTGTATTACTAAGTTTCACTTTAAATAAACTGTGAAAAACCTATCGAATTTATAATGATTTTAAAATTAAAAAAATAATCTTTGTTTTTTTTCTTACGGACACTTACAATAAAAAATAAAGAATGTACGTAAAATGAGACTCTCACTATTCATATAAATAAATAAGATTGTATTCGTTCATATTATAATAAAATATTCATTGTCATCTATAGCTTGCGATGTTTCATTCTGTTTTCTCTGCAAATCTTTGATAAGGAAAGAGCTTTAATATTTTGCGCTCTCGTTTTCTCTTGCAAAACCACAACGAAAGACATTACTAATGGTATTATATAGAATTCTTTTAATGAATAAAATAGATGTATTCATTATATCGACATGATGAAAATAAAAATCCATAGATTATTTATAATATTCGGATTTTACTTTGGATGAACGAAACATTACATCGAAAATTGGAGAGAATTTATGTCATACAGAAATCTCAATGTCTCTAATGACATTTAAATTAGAATCAGACGATGTGAGATTTAGCAGCGATGTCAGAATTTTTGGGGTGACTCAGCTTCCCTGTGGCGCCGCCACTAATACCATTTTCGAGATCATCGTGTCACAGAAGATGAACTTTGAATATGGAATTTGAGAAAGAAAACAAAATCTCGACTGATCGTTAGAAGGTGCTTTGGACTTTATTAAGAATCTTTTGCTTCACGTAATTTTCAAATAAGCATTTTTCATTCGAGATTTTACTCGACCAATCAATGACAATCTCTTCGATAGCCACGTTTCGAGTTGTTGACTAGTAATGTAACAGGAAAAACTATCATATTAGAAAATAAAGTACAGTTAATAGTTTTGTATTTCAATCGAAAAATCATTTGATATATTTTTATAGACATATGAACTTGATAGACTTAGTCCGGAAGAACGTTTTCGAGTTCGACATGAAGCTATCCATGTGGAAATGGTACTTGTTCTACTTGAACTTATCATTTTCGATCTTATCAAATAATAACCCAAACGTTTTTTTTTGATAAATAAACTCTTTCTTTTGATTCTTTACCCTTAGAGCGAGAAAAAAAGAAACGTGTCCATATTGTAAAGAAAAAGTAGATTTAAAAAGATTATTTCCTAATCCATGGGAGGTATGTTTAAGAAAAAGAAAAAAAAATTAATATTCATAATTGCTTTTTTTGTGTTTCGATATTTAGAAACCTCATGCACTCTTAGGAAATTTACTTGATTGGGTTCGATATTTAGTTGCTTGGCAACCATTAATTTTAATGATTGTACAAGGTATTAATTATATACTTGGTCTTGAATAGGTGAAATAATATTTATTTCAATCATGAGTTATATAGACCATATTTTTTTTCTGGTTTTTTTTTGCATTTTATCATTTGGCGATATATCTAGGAAAATAAATAAAAATATATTCTTTTTTTGTTTATTGTCAAATATATTCAAGTAATTGTTTTTTGCAGATTTTGTTTAAAGAATGAATATTGAAGGTCAATTGATTAGTTTGGGATGGTCAATAAAAACAGATTTTTTTGAAAAAAATAAACAACAACTTGATATAATTAAAAAACAATTACTTGATGTGAATATATTTGTCTTTTTTAAAGTGTCCCCTTCAAAAAGTCGATTTGGCACCAAGTACATTCAAATCGTCTGACATTTGGAGACTATGTTGAGACTGTAGTAGAGAAGCTGTTATAAAAGTTTCAGCTGTGTACCATGACGTTTGACAGAGATATTCATCAAGCAAGAGTCAAAAATAGTTCATTTGGCAAAGCAAGTTTCTCTGTCTGGGCTCATTCTATATATTTGACTTTTTTTTGGTTTGAAAGAGCATATAAGGATCCAGTGAAGTATACAACCATTTTTTTAAATTGTTATTTTTTTAAGTGAAGAAAAGGTATGGCAAGTTCAATGACTCAAAAACACTCAAAATGAATGTTTATATATATATAAGTGTTTGTATATATAATTGAATAACAAGGACTTTATACGGTATTGCACATTGACATGCTTTACAAACAAAAAACAAATTGAAAGCATAGAATGAAGGTCCACATAGAAGTCCGGATCGCGCGATCAAAAAAGTATAAACAGAGAAACAACGAAAAACTTTTCCTGCTTTTTCTAAAAACAGATTGTTTTTTTAGCAGATGATGACAGGAAACATCAATGATTTTGGCAAAGAAGGAAGTGTCGAATAAAAACTCATGTCATTTATGAAAGATTAGGCCTCGGACTATCTTCCCATGGATTTAACTTAATTTTCAATTTTTTGACGAAAATTGACCTTTTGTCAAGTGTATGATGATTAGGTCTTGATTTATCATTTCTTTTTAATTTAACAGGTTGATTTAAGAGAAATTGGTGAAGAATCTTTGCCTGAAATAACAAAACTTGATGAAGTATGGAAAAAAAAAGAAGTTGATTGTTCTGAAATTTCATTTTTTTTTTATATATTCAGACAATAAAACCATATATTGTACAATTATATGAAACTCGTAATGTAACAGCACCAAAAGATAAGGAAACATCATCGAATAAACCACATCTTTATCGATTAACAATAACTGATGGACATGTTTTTCAAAGTGCACTTATTTTACCATCACTTAAAAATTTTAAGTAAATAATAAAATTGAATTTTTATT